CTGTGGGGGGAAAAGGGGTGTCTGTGGGGAATAACCACCCCCAGGGTCAGTGGGGCCACGGGCCAGGCAGGAGGATGGCAGCCAGCGAGGACCAGGGCGAGGGACAGGCCTGAGTCGGGCACGGTGCTGTGCCCTGGGGGCTTTAAATCCGCCTGGTTTTCAAAACTTGTTACTTCTCGCTTGGTTTCAGGAGGGAACACGATGGAAAAATTGTTCTTCCCCTGTTTACAGCTGTCTTGTACTGAATGTGAAGATTTATCCCATCTTTCCATGGTATAAACTGTACCAGACGGGAGCTGCCGTGGAAAGGCTGCTCTCCAATCAGCAGAAGAAGCAGATGATTGTTCACACATTCTTTATTATCAAAAAAAAAAAAAAGAACAAAACCAATATTAAATTAAATAAATTACAAACATTTCTGAGCTGGTTATACATCATGTATTTATCAAGTAAGGCTGCAGAGCCCATTACACGTCAACATCACTGTTACAAGGGCAATAAAGGGACACTGGAAATTAAAATTTTTTTACCCTAGCGTGAATTTGAGCTTCCCTTATTTTCTCGCCCAGGCACTTGGAAATTAAGACTTTGAACTGGCCGCGTTGTGCCTCCAGCAATGCCATTTGCCCACTGATGTTACACTTACTGCCAGAATTGGCCCATGGCTACAGAAATGGGGTATCCTCGTTCCTCGGTCATCAGAACCGCAGAGCGTGTAGGCACTGCTGCTGCTTTTGAGCCATCTCTCTTGACATCCCATCCATTATGCTTGCAGGAACTTAAAGAAATACAATCTATATTTATACATGGTCTGTAGCTCTGAGGCTTCCTGCGTTTGGCCTGTCAGGCCCCGAGACTGTGAAATTGCCCTCCTGTAATTAACCTTCAACGACGAACTGGAAATTGGAACTTTCCTCGTTTAATGTGATGCCACATCAGGGATACAGAAGTATTGATTAGCTACTGTAGAATAGTTTCTTGTTCCGTTGCACCCATTTCTTTGTTGTTTTTTTCAAACGAGCAAGTAAAAGGACCACTCAGGCAGTAACAAAAGACTGTGAGTAATCACCCTCAAAGATAATTTAAGAGAATTAATCTCTTGATTTTGCCTTATAGAACAAGCTATACATGGTTCTGGAAAAAATCATGGCTCTCTAAGATTAAAATACATAACAACCATCAGTTAGTGGGTTTTTCCTTTTGGAAACTAACCTCCTTTGGTTTTATTACTCTTTCCTGCACCACATGATCAGAAACTGAGGTAGAGAAACGGTGACTTAGTTAACGAGGTGTTACTGGCAGGGTCCTGATGTTGTTTCCTTTAATGGTTGTCTAGCTATAATAGTTCACAAAGCTCTATTTTCCTTAAAAATGAGACATCTGGGAGCTGTAGGAAAGCCCCACTTTCTCTCCTCAGAAAGCCTTCTAGCAATCTGCTGGTGAATCAGCTCAATAATCCATATGTACTTCAAAACTGTACATTAAAGCTTGTTAATATTTTTACTATCTTAGAGTAATAAAATAGAAATAACCTTTAAAAATATAATTTACTTTCATTATTAAGGCCACTCTTTATTTTTTGCATTCATGGAAAGATAACAGATTGTCCAGTTTTACTTCCATTACTGTCTACTTTTTCTTGTTGACTCTTGCATTTTATCCCAGTGCTGGAAATACCTTGTAGGAAGATTTGAAATTCAAACGAAAGCAATTGTTTTCATTGCAGTTGAAGAAATACCAGCACGTGTCTTGATCTTAAATTTTTTATAACCTTATTTTCATAAAAGCCTTATTTGAAGTTGAAATGCACTGAAGAAAGAAGGGTCCCTTTAACCCTTGGCTTACACTTAGATTTTTCAGGCTTTATGTTGTCATCTTGTCATTACTGTCACAACACCAGCACTGGGTAAGAAGGGAAGGCGTAGGAGAGGGAAACTAAAATAACAGTTGTTATTAGCATCACTCAAATATAAAAGAATGTCAGATTTTTAGAAATGATTAAGATCTCAGCTGTCTGTCTCTGGGTTAGTGAGGCAGGCATGTTTGCCTGAGAGGTAGATGGTCCTGGTAGCATCAGTCTGTGGTGAATTTGAAGGAAAATCTTCAAACGTGTAGTAGAGAATTGTTATGGAAATATCACACGCTATACAAGAGTTGTCTCTTGCTGCACGAGTGACCGTTTGAGAGCTTGTCACCAGAAGCCCTGCATGGCACAAGGTGTCACTTGGGCTGCTCCCTACTCACAGGCAATAAACGCACTCAAATTTCAGTTTCGCTGCTCTGGATCTATGGCTTCATGAAAAGTGTGCAGAAGGGGCTTCCTTCCCTGTCCCTGAATTTACTATTTGTGATCAAAATGAGGTGGGAAAAACGTCTTTCTCCAGAGCACTCGCCCGTGTTCCAGACTAAATGTTTTAGTTCTTCCAGTTAAAAGAGGATGGGAAGAGTCAGCACACCCTTGGGATGAACGCTTTCATGCCACTCACAGTCTAAGAGCCTTATCTGAAGCGCCGTTCGGTCAGCAGAAAAATCCCTAAAAAAATTCAGAGGGGATTCAAACTGGACCTGGGTCTTCTGAACACGGACTCAACCTACTGGGCGGGCAGGACAATATTGCATATAACACACGGTAACAAGGAAATCTTATTTCTGATTACAAACTAGTCCTATTAGTAAGAAAAAAAGGTAATGTAATCCATAAAGTAGCCCTACTGAGACAGAGTACCGAGGTCTTCAGGGCATCTGAATACAGCACTGGATTGAGGCAGTGGTTTCTGGGACACAGAGAGCGGGGCGGGGGGTCACAGGAGAGGGGCAGAAAGGCAGAGGTGGTGCTACGCAGGGGAATTCAGGGGTTTGCATTTACTGTGCAGACACCCTGAAGGTCAGTGCACATTTTAGAACAACATTACCTTACGAAGTTGCGTCGCCGCACCTTGCATGAGTTGCTTTTGCTTATGAATCAAAGCTGTGAAAGGCTCTTAATATTTGCTTGTATTTCACTTCATCAAGAAAAGAGGGAGGAGGGAAAAGAAAGAAGGGGGATGCCCAAATTGCGTAATTCCTATGCGGGCAGCAGAGCGCGATTGTGTGAGACAAAGGAGAGCGCTTGGCAATAATGACTAATCGTCCCATGTGTTCAGGCACCTGCCTTCAAATGAACTCACTTCTGTAATTAATGAGACAGCATTTCCTGAGTTCCTGCTTCCCTGGGTTTCTGTTGCCTGCTCCAGACTTCATTGCTCTGAATACCAGAAGCAGAGCGGGAAGGAAGGAGGGATTTATCAGTTCGAGAGGTGTGACGGCCAATTGCTTTGCAAACTTATAGTATCCCCAAGTAGAAGTGCAGCTCTTCACGAAGGGATGGGAGAGAGGAATCTGTTCGGGAGGGTTTGCCCGCACGCCGACGCTCCTTGTGCACTCACAGAGCTGTCTGGGTCTCTGAGCGGAACATGCTTCCAAACATCTCCTAAAGGGCACACAAGGCACGCTAGGTTAGGGCTGATGTTGGGCACAAACCCAGCTCCGCTGTCATTGGGGCACACAGAGAAACGCCACCAGAAACTCCAACCCTTCCCAGCCCTCCTCCAGAAGGGAACGCTGGCTGTGGGGAGGCTGCTCTGCTTCCCGCTGTGCGTGGGTAGCGTGGGGAAGGTCAGCCTTGGAAGGAGTCTCCTCCCAGGGACGTGGGGTCAGTGGGTGCAGATCACTTCAGCGTTAACTAGGTCTGTGCTAAAATCTTGACCGCTGACCCTTCTTTAGGGCTTGAGCTAAGCCCGGTTGTCCGAGTTCATCGCAGTGTATGGGGGCCATGGGTCTGACTGCGAACCTGAGCTACGTGGCCCAGAACGGATTAGAGGATTCTCCGGAGGGGTAGCCTGGCTGCTCCTTCATCCGGGTCCCTGCCAGAGCTCCTCATGGAAGGGATTTTAAATTATTTTTGCAGCTAACTTTTCAAAGCATTACTATTGCTAGCAGTTTGCCTGGCAATGTCAGAAGGGACTTCCCATCTAATCAATCACAACCACGACTTCTGATTTCCTCCTTATGTCCACAGCTGAAGAAGTGACCCCTGGCACTAGGACTAACCTCCTCCAAGTTCTTGAACTCTGCACTGCTTTCATCCACAGACTCGTCATAGACGGAGAGCTCTGTCTGATTCGGCCTCTGTGCAGGAAAGAATCGAATCCACACATTAGCAGAGTGCAGGGTTGAAAGGAATGGAAAAAAATGACTGAGCCAGGCTTAAAACATCACACATGCTCAAAGGGAAACGCACAGAAGGAATCCTTTTTCAGTTGTTTATCTCCTCTGACTGAGCTGGCATTTACATATCTCTGCTAAGATACCTTAATGGTTCCAGCTCCACTTATCATGCAATAAACCAATCCATATTTGGGGAAACAGCCTGTCTCACCCTGTGTTGTCAGCTCGTGCCCCATTCCTGCGGCAGCCTTTTCTCCTCCCACCAAGGGAAGGATCCATGGATGCTGGGGCTATTGAAGGACATGAGCTTTGCCTTTATTTCTGATGGCCAAATTCTGCCTTTCTGTGCAGCTGCATGTTCCAGCCAACACCAAACTGTGGGCGTCATGCTGGAACAGGTCTTTTGGCTTCTCCAGGCTGGGGTGACGTTCATCTCCCAGGTAGGGGTTTGCAGAAGACATTTACACTTCTGAATTGCCATTGAAATCAGTTCAATCAGTAGGTGCTTGGGCTGTACATGAGAATTAGGTGATTAAATGTTTTGTTGGATTTAGACCTTTACCACTTGAGATAAACAAGTAATTTTATTAGGTGCTGTACTGAGTTGTTATTCTCCCTTTGTGCTGACGCAGCGTGTAAACCTAATAGTACAGTACTGTGAGCTGGAGAAAGACTGGGGAGCAAATTTACCTCTTCCAAGATGGGTGGGTGGACAACTTCTTTGATATTTGCCAGTGCAAACAAAACAGCATCATGGATCGTCAAGAAGATGTGACTTCGGTCGAGGCCGCCTTCCTCAAAGACTCCACCTGTGCTAATGTCATTGTACACCTGGGCTGAAGAAAGGAAAAGCACATGAACAAGAAGGAAACTGAAGAAGGAAGCTTTTGAAAGTGCACATGGCTGACAGTGGTCTTCTGAGCTAAAGCAAGGCTGGGATGCATAGGGAAGAAGCAGGTCTGCTGCAGAAATGAGAGTGTAGGGATCGATTTTTCTACATGCTAAATGTGGGGATGGTCCAGTCATATCACTTCCCAAATGAAATGACTGATTTCACACACAGAGAACAGTGTTTCTCTTTCATTTCTTCTGTTCTCTTCTTTCATCTGTTCTGGTTTGGTCCAACAAAAGGCTGACAGCTCTAACAGTTTGCATAAAGAACACAAAAAGGTCTCCTGCCTGTCAGGAGCACATAAATGGGGGAAGGTCACATGGAAATGTGTTCTTCGTGGATTCTTACCATGCACATTTGCCAAGAACACTTTAATCCCAATCTTCTGATAACTGGAACACAACTAGAAGGGATGAGAGGAGAGAGAGAGGATTAATAACACTACTTCTCCAGCTTTGTGTTTATCTAGGGCTTTACACGTGTGCTGGGGATGCTGAAGGAGAAAGCCACACAAACCTTCTATTGAGGAGGGTAAACATCTTTATCTGAGCTGCCCAAGAGAGTAGAAGGTACCTGGGTACATTGCTTGGCTGTGTTCGTAGTACAGAACTAACCTTGCCCAGTGCTTTTGTGCCCATGAGGTCAACAAAACACACTCCACTCATGTCCAGGATGATGGTGTGAAAGCTGATATAGGGTGGTGCTGTCATCATAGGATCAACATCTGCTGCAGGCATGACACTGAAAGTGCTTCCTTGCAGAGTAGTGGTGCTGCCCAGCTCACTGGGGGTGTGCACCTGCCCAGCACCGTTGGTGGGAGGACGGAATGTAACATAGGAGATGCTGGCACCATTAGCAGTCGTCTGGTTGTTATTGGTATCTGTTGGAGAGGTGCTTTCAAAGTCTTTCTGGAGCTCTTGCAAAGACAAGGTCTACAGCAAAGCAGAGATGCACAGTCAGGGCAGGATGAGCTGCAGGAAATACTCTCTTCCTTCTTACACCCAAATACGTGCAGGACCTTTCCAGACACTGAGCACAGCTATCAGCACTAGTCGAGATCCTCACGTGTGAATGCACCTAAACTATTCAGTGGCATGAAGTGTTTTAATCTGGACTAACTCCAGCCTGGTGCTAGGCTGAATGTCCTTTGGGGTTGGCGTATGTTAGGTTAATTTTAAACGATTCCTGTTCACATGCTTCAAGACTGCTCAGCAATGCAAACCAAACGAAGCTGGAATGACTGGGACATGGGCTTCAAAAGGGCACTTTTGAACTGAAATGCTGGCATGGATGCATCCTTAGAGAAAGAGGGCAAGCCCAGTGTCTAGCAAATTGTTCACCATGTCTCCATTCTAGCCAGCTGTACAGCTTTCTTGCTCCCAGCCATTTCCAGTTCTCCTGCATCTTAAGGTTTTGGCTGTTGGGAGGAAAGGTGATGTGGGTGGGAAGGAAAGGAGGCGAGAGGTGGTAAATGTGGCTAGGAAGACAGTGCAGAAAATCCTGTATCAAGAGGAGCTGTTTGATGGGGATCCAAACTGAGTTACCTTGTTCTGCCTCAATAAGAATTTTGGTAGCTTTGTTGGTGGTTGTGCTGTCCCCTTCTCCTGCCGTTTCACGTATTTCTTCCTGGCTAAGTACACTTTACCAGGATCCACCCCAGTCTGTGGAAAAGAGAGAGAGATTTCTTTGAAAAGGTCTCTTCAACCCCGTAGTCAGGGGCTGCTATTTCTTCCCTCCCGTTTCCCAGCCTGTGGGACATGGCACAGGAGGACAGCAGCAGCTGTAGGCCAGAGTGAAGTGGTCCTGATGGCGACCCAACAGCAACATCTTCAGTAACGCGGGGTACCTGCACATGCAGGGAGGAGAGACTTGCAGCAGCAGGATGACTCTGCTTTAGCAGAGCTTGGAGGAGGATACCTGCCAGGATTCAGGCATAACCTTTAAACTGAGATCTACAAACAGTCCTAACATCAGGGAGAAAAGGATGGAAGAGTACAGGATGGATGTGACCATCTTTCATGATCAGCCTAGGCTTAATTATCTCCATGTAGCAATACAGGAGAGAGCAAGGGCCGTTTGGGATTGGCTGCAAACAGAAATTTCTTAGGGCATTGCTCACCTTGGCTACAATCTTCTCACGGAATATCTCCGAATTGGCAAAATACAGTGGCGAGCAGTAGGTCACAATTTTAATCCCATTAAGTTCATGTACCTGCAACAGAGACAAGAGCTCAAACCAGGCGTGACAGGGTGTGTGTGGGGTGCAGGGTGGCTGCAGATAATTGGGAAGGACAGGCTGAACAGCAGCTCTCCTGCCAGCCCTGGAACCAGCAGCAATCAACCTCGCTGAGACAGAAACATGGACTTGAGTTCCTTGATCTCATTGGGTACCAGTGGCAAAGAACAGCATTTGCTCTGAGGATGCTTTAGCTTCTGCTTACCTTGTTGTAGGCTTTAGGGTTCTTGTAGATGTCAGTGGAAGTTACTTGGCCCAGGGCAGAGCCATTACGGCTAGGAGAAAAGAGGCAATCAGTATTAGAGTAAATGTTGCAGGGCAAGAAAACTGTTTCGCTTCACATTCCATAGCAGGATTTGAAAATTTGCTTTATGAAAATACTTAGATTTCATCCCCTCAGAGTCTACAGGGCAAAAAAAGAGTCAGCAGTTTGAGATCCCAGACTGGGAAATATTAATAAACGGCTTTGATGGATTAAAAATGGTGTGTAAACTTCACGCCAGTCTTTGCACATATACGGGGCTCGCTCTTTTTAATGAGCAGGATTTTCTGCTGGGAACTATGCAGGTAGCTTTTCGTGCTGAAGTAAATACCTTCAGACTTCCCCCTGCCTTGGGATGTGCACATCGCTAACCGCGCGCAGGAGTGGGAATGCAGGCAGTAAATTAGCGCCTGCCATTCCTGTTTGCACATTCCAGGGGCCGGGGAGGACACCTGCACTCCCCCAGGCTCCTGCCACACGTTCCTTCGAAACACGGGCCAGAGGTCGGTTATAAAAATAATCTGTCGTTTATTCCGCAACTGGGAGATTTTTCCTTCTCTTTTGGTTTTTGTAGCTACACCGGTACTTACAACTGGGTATGGAAAACCACGACCAGCACGGAAAATCCCACGCCTACGGCGACTCCGTAGGGAAGGCTCAGGAAGAAAGCAGACAGGAAGCTCACCAGCCAGACCAGCTGCAGAAAGAGAAGAGCCACGGCAGGTCATTTTACTCTGCCACGGCCTGGAGCGCAGAGATGGATGGAAAATGGCTTTGTGCTGATATTCAGGACCCGAAGAACTACACAGCTCAGGATCAAAAAACCGAGACCTGAATTCTGCAACTATTCTAATTATACAGTTTATTGCATGCTTTCGTGTGAAACATCATTGCTGGGAAGCTTGCCAGAAGCCCCAGTTTTTCAGCCGTAAAAGCAGCCAGTGCGTTTCTTCGCAGCTGCACGAACACCCGCACCGCTCGTTCAGTTCACAAAGTATCAGCCTATCTAGTCAAGAAAAGGCTCCTGCAGATCGGACCATCTGCTGCTCGCTAACTGCTCCCAGCCCCACGAAAGCTCCTGCTGTCAGTCGGAGCATTTCAGAAGAAATGAGCATCTATCTCAAAGCCCTCTGAGCACCTACTATAAATGACCTGAACACAGAGCAGATCTGATGACAAAGTATGACAGAGCATACCAAAGCCTGCTCCACCTCTCAGCTCAGAGCTCTGTCATTTGTCATTTTTATATATTAGCACTTGAGCATCTCCCTCCATATGAAATTAGTCCTGCCTAAGCACATAAACATGCCCTCTGAGAATCATTATCAGGTAATTATAATCCCATCCTCAAGACTGATAAAACCTAACTTTGACCTTGGATGTATCAGGGTAACTTTGATGACTTCAGCATCTTAATTTATATGCATGGTGCATATAAATGGCAAGCAAGGGCTTCCCTCCATCCCGACTTCACTCTGAGCCGTATCGGTGGAGTGATCCCTGCAGTTAGCACTGAGACACAACCAGACATGAGGTAATGAACACCGATGGTCTGACATCACCCAGAAACGGTGTTCTCCGTTTTGGGACAGGATACTGAATCTAGTTCAAATTCCAGGGAGATTAAGGTCAGGGAATGCCGTTCACTCCGTTGGCATCCGCCTGGTCCCCACGCTCCCTGCACACGTAGGCTGCCCGTGGCTGCTGGTAGCAAGAGCTTGTTCCAGCAGCTCAGAGGAAACACAGCACAGCCGGGGCAATGGCTCTGGCTGTGCCATGGAGGACAGGTGACTCACACGGGCTCAACCAAAGAAGTTTCTGACAGCCATTCACCTCTACGATGGTGACCACGTCTGGCAGAGACACGCTGGCAGGGTGTTCACCAGGCAGCACCATGCATCTCCTCTCAGTCCACTGTCCACTCAGGTGTCTGACTGCCCGGACTTTGCGCTGGGGGCTGTGGACCCCGCGGGGCCGGTCTGTGCTCCCTTCTGCGAGCTCTGATAACGGGCAGTAACTTCACCTCCCCTCACATCAAGTGCCAGAGCTGCCCGAGACCTTCCACGCTACCCACCAGGCACCAGCAGAACCCATTCAGAGATGTGCTTTAATCACCATAAACAATTCCCAACAGAGAATCGCATGTTCCCATCGGCGACTTTCCCTCTCTGCCAGTTCTTGCCTGCATAACCACATCATCTCAGACCCCACATGTCCCTGGTCCGGTCAGTCTGCCAGGCTCTTTCCCAAGCATGGACCATTTTTTTGTAGCTCATGCCCTGTGCTAGAGTGTACCTTCACGTCATGATCACACCCCTGTGAAATCTCTGCCTGGACTGCTAACCCGTCTTTTCTCCGGCACCTGTTTGAACAGTATTTTGGGAAAGCTCTTGATGACTCAGGTCAGCCCCTTTGGACTCCTGATTTCTCCGATAAGGCAGTTTGTCTGGACCTGACAGGATATTGGCTCAGTGTCCACACACACCACTCAGCCGTGGGAGTCCTGTTCAAACACTGTCTTTTTATGTCAGACATTTCCAAATTCCGTTCTCACTCCCCTGCACCCCCTGCCTGGGTTTATACATCAACCAGTGCCTGGAGTCCTTATCGCTGCGAAGGGCTCTCCTCGCCCTGGAGGGCTATTGTGTGAGTTTTTAAGTCATGACTCCTAGATATTGAGCAGGGCCGGTTTGGCTAGTTCTGGGCAAACAGGCTCCCGCGGTTGATTGGCATTTAAACAGAGCAGGTAATAGTTCAGGTCTCGCTGATACGTGCACTAAGCATGAGAGTGCTCAGCTGGGCAGGACAGCCTCCGCCGCTGCTTGGGACCTCGTTGGCGAGGGGTCGGAAGCACGACTGGACTGAGAGAGCGAAACCCACCCTCTACTGGGGTCTAATACTGCACTCCAGCCCCAAAAGCCTGCTGGGGGGCTCGCCTGCTCGCCCTGCCTCTGCCTCGCACAGCCCGTAAGGCAGGCGGATGCCTCCCACCCATCCCCAGGCACTCACGCAGTCCAGCTTGCTCTTCTTCCACAGGTAGAAGGGATCAGCCAGCTGCTTGAGGGAGTTTTTCAGGTTCACTGCGATGAGGGCTCCCAGGACAGACTGCGGAGGAGAAAGGAGTGTATCAGCTAGGATGTCAGGCTACAGGGTGCCCAGAGAAGCTGTGGCTGCCCCTGGCTCCCTGGCAGCGTTCAAGGCCAGGTTGGATGGGGCTTTGGGCAACCTGGGCTAGTGGAGGGTGTCCCTGCCCATGGCAGGGGGTTGGGACTAGATGGGCTTTGAGGTCCCTTCCAACCCAAACCTTTCTATGATTCTATGATGTCCAGCAGTGTGGATGTGCCACGTTTTGCGGCAGATGCTTTCTGCAGTGTCTCCCTTCCTTGGTTCAGTTACCACAAGGGAGTGGGAAAAGGTGACATTCACAAAGATCTCACTTGGATCTCAGCATGATAATTTAGAGTATTCTTGCATCCAGAGACTCAGTGCAGACAAGATTCAGCCCAGGAACAAACCGTGCTGTGCAATGGTTTGCATTAGGGGTTTTTGCAGCAAGGCTGTGCCTTCGCTTGGGCATGTAGAGTATGTGATGCAATGGCTGCGCTGTTTGCACAGATGTTTGTGTTACCTTTGGAAGAGGTTCGAGGTAGATCCCCAGAGCCAGCATGGTCACCATAACCACCAAGGCCACAAAGAAACTTGCCACCTGCAAAAAAACCCAACACATTAGGGTCTTCCTAAACCCCCTCTGGGTCTTTCCCCTCCTGCTGCTTCAGCCAGCGGCACAACTGATCACTGCAGTGTTTTATGTGAGCAGACGATTGCCTCTGAGTGATAGGCTAGGATTTTGCAGATCACACAGATAACCCCAAACTTCCCTCACGTGGTAGCTCTCCTCAATTGGGGGAGCCAGACTGGGAATGCAGATTTACAGCCCTACATCTGTGACCAATCCAAAGAACCATCCAGGGAACAAAATGGGGTCGAGGAGGGAGGAAATTCTGCTTTAACAACAGCAACGTGAAGCACTCATAGATGGAGCTTCTCCAGACCTGCAGCAGCGATGTCAGGCTGGCAGCATGCAGCAGCTACAGGGGTTTGTGGTCAAGCAGGGTCACGGAAGGAAGAGAGGAGGAGGAGATACTAACTTGTGATTTCCCTCCTGCTCCATCCACGGCAAGAGTGACAGAGAGAGCACAGCAGATCACATGGATTTTGAAGAAGGATCCAAAGAAGTTGCTGCAGCCCAGGGCCAACATTTCCTGTGGAGATGGAGGAACGTGGTCATCAAAGAGGAGAGGTGTCCTTCCTGCCCTGCCAATGTGTGTGAGCTGCCAAGCAGGGGAGCAAGTGCCTGCATCTGGGGTTTGTGTGGCCAGGAAAGGGACCTGGATTCCCTGCAGTGTGTCCCAGACCCTTTCCTTCCAGTAAGAGCTGGGACAGGCTTTGGTATAGGAGGGAAACCTGGAAACACAATTCCACATAAACACGTTGTCATCTGTTGACACACTGAGGGCAGGGCTTCATGTGGTATGCGTGGCTGTTATTGAAAGCTGCCACTGTGCCAGTGATGACAAAAGAGGATTATTTAATGTCCTGCCTCTCACAGTATCTAGGTGACACACCAGGAATCCAGGTCTTTCTTTGCTCAGTGAGAAATACATGTGCCTTGTTGTGCTCCAACAGTCTGCAAAAATGCTCTCTATGCCAGCACTTGGGTCTGGAGCGAGAGCAAAGCAGAGAGCTCAACCTAAGGCTTTCTTCCCTTTTTCAGGCTCTCCCCAGTCCACGGGAGATGGATCTGCCATGTCCTTTCAACCTCCACATGGCAAGCTGCCACGTGAGCCTGCATGCATGGGAGCAGCACATCTGCTTTAAGCAGAACACATTTGAAAGCTTCCCATTCATGCAGCGAGGTTTTCCTTTCACGCCTGAGAGCAAGCGGAATGGTCCTTGACTGCGTCCTTCCAGACCAAGCGTTACCTGGTTGGGGTCCACGTCGTAGCCATGCTTGGCTGCCAGCGTTCTCCCCATGGCTAAGTTGATCACGTAGCTCACGATGGCGAGCGAGAAAGCTGTGCCGATCATGTCCTTCCACTTGTTCACCAGGGGCAGGGTGGGCGCTGGGAACCTGCACTCAGAGCAGAGGTGAGAAGCAGTTGTGACACTAGTGTCCGGAGGGTGATGAAGTGCGTGAGGAGCTTGTGTGTTCAGGAATGACATAATCCATGTCTGCACTGTAGACAGCGTGAGTGGATGGTGGCAATTGTGTAACAGCCCTGAAAGGGGACTGTCATACAGCAGGGAAGAGTGAGGTGTTTTCCAGGCTGCAGGAGGAGGAGGAGGAAGGAAAATTATCTGGAAGTTGAGTCAGATCTGCATATGCACTTACCCCATGCTGATCTTCCCGACTACTGGCATGCCGTACTTCTCGGGCATGTTGAAGCTGCCAGAGATTGCAGTCGCAACTATTACCTGAAAGCACAGAGAATAAAGGAGCAGTAAGCAGAAAGAGCGTGAGCTCCCTCAGAACCGCTAAGCTTGCTGTGGTCCTGGGGCTGACAGCAGAAAATTAGCACCAAATTCAGGCTAGGAAAGGAGAGAACCTCCCCAGAATGAGTTAAGTTCCTCATCCTCAGCATCACCAGGATGCAGGTACAGTCTAACAGGGACGATCTGGGCATCAGAGGTACCCTCAGTGAGGATGGCCCGATTTCTGACCCCAAGCCATGTGGGCTCATGTCATCCTCACTGCACAGAAGCTGCAGATGAATGGGTGCTCTGTGAGCAGAATTGGGTGTCCCAGGGCTGTAAGGTGAGGGGAGGGACTGTCTCCTGGAGGGTCCGAGGGACAGCTCGTGCATCACTTACGATGATGATCTCCATGGGGATGGGCATCCGGATCTTTTTCATGTACTTTAAGTTGAGCTCCTTGACAATGATCAGGAGCACAGCACTGACCAAGGCGTAGACCAGGGAGGCCACGTTAGTCTTGGGCAGACCTTTACAAATATCAATGAACGTCTAAAGGGGAGAGAAGAGGAGAAGGTGTCACAGGCAACCAGAGACTCTGGACAATGTGGACAGCACAATGGAGAACATTTGTACCATAATTGACTGCAAACACCTTGAGATGGGATGAGGGCTCTATAGGGTGAGAGAAGTTCTAGAAACCCTGCTGCTGGGAGACCAGCATCCAGCCCTGGCTCTGTACTGTTTGGTTACATGCAGTTCGAGCTGCATCAGTGGAGGAGGCATCCATGGAAGATGCAGGAAAGCTCAGGAAGAGATAAACCTGCTCATGGGAAAAGTTTCTGTTGCTAACAATCGTGCAAGACTCCTGCTGTAAAACAACACAGTTGATATTGTCCCCAAGCTCAGACCCATTTCATTATTTCTCATTAGAAACTGCCAGACAAGGGCTCAGATAATACTGTCGATGCAATGGCAGCAGCATAGCTGTGCTGGGCTGGGAGTGGTGCAGACAGCCGTATTCCCCCTCCTTCCGGCCTTTCCTCCGCTGCGAGCCCCCTGTCCCTAGCATGGGTGGCAGTGATGCCTGTGGCGTGGTAGTCACTGGGGGAGGAGGTGCAGGGAAAGACCCTGTCCAGAGCACCCACTTACATAGACGATAGCTAAGGGCCCGGTGTAAGATGGGACTGTCAAGCCGAAGACATACTTGAGCACGGAGATGAGGATCTGCAAGCCTGCTGCTGTCATGAAGCCCCTGATGAAAGACTCTGAGAGGTAGATAGCAACAAAGCCAAACTGCACGAATCCCAGGCACAGCTAGGGTAGGACAGACAAGGCGGTATTAGAAGGATGCCAGCCCGAAAGGGCGAGGAGCAGAGCCTGAGCGTGCCCGTGTCGGGCAGGCTGCTCGGCCGGGAGAGCGGGCACATCCCTCCCGCGCAGCCATGGCATGGGCTGGGCTGAGCAGACTGTCTGGAGAAGAGATGGGAGGAGGAGAGCTGCAGGGTGCTGGGGTGTCATCACCGGCTGCGATCCTCACCCTGGGCTAGTCTGTTTGGAGGATTTCACACCAAGACCGCAGCTGGGGTGGGATTCCCCCCAAAACCTCTATGCTGAGGCATCACCCACTTAGAAGTGTGGCCTCTACTAGCATCTGGTCCCACCATCTCTGCTCCAGGGAGAGAGCCCAGCTGACTCCATGTGGGTCAGCTCTGGCCAGAGGACACAGCAGAGGTGGTGCAGCAGGCCCTTACTTGTATGATGGCCGTCAGGCAGGCTAACGTGGCAGAGATCTCCAGCCTGGCCGCTTCCAGGGCTGTGGTGTTCACGCTGGTCTCATTGGTAGTATGGTTGAAGTACTGGAAGTCTGACTCTGGAGCCAGCTCATTGCAGACGTTGCCAACAATAATGCTGATGACTGCAAAAGTACCTACAGCACAACACAGTGATGTCAGGAGTTTTCTCTAGAGAGCGTCCTGTCCTGGAAGGCACTTGGACGGGTTGGGCTGTCCAGACCGAGTCACCCAGCCCATCACCACAGCCAGCCCCACGGCGGGATGTGGCGGCAGTTCATTGGGGTGAGATCCTGCTATGCAGCCAGAATCAGGGATCCCGTAAAGCCCTGTTAGACCAAACATGGCCAAACATTGCTATTCTGGAACACATCGAGTATTCCCAGCCAGTATTTAACTGCCTTGTGCAGAGAATTGCTCTGCAGACTCTTACCTGGGACCATCTGACGGATACCGCCAAGGAAGAGGTATGTTACCAAGGGGAAGAAGGAGGAGTAGAGCCCGTTGACGGGAGGCAGGTTGGCCAGCAGCGCGAAGGCCATCCCTGGAAAACACGAGGGAAATGGGCATGTCAGCCAGGTCCGCGCAGCTGGCGTCAGCCCCCTGCCCTGCTCACGCTCACGTCATCTCCGAGAAGGTGCTGCGGCCGGCGCAGACTGCTGCTTTCTGGGCAGGAGAGGCCAAACAGGGCAGGGAAAGGCACCGCAGAGAAGTATAGGGACAACCAGGTTGGAGGTAGAGCTTGGGTTTATACACGTCAGCAGTAAAGGTAGCTAAACCCCCCAGACTGGACGTCAGCTGCCATCTGCAGACCTTCACTTGAACTGGCAAAGTGCTATCCCCTCTCGGTGACCCAGAAAGTCATTGCGTCTCACCTTGTGGCACTTGAATCGTCCCCGCGCTGAGCCCACCGAGAACATCAGACAGAATGTAGTCTTTAATTTTATACTTGGGAAGCCACACAAGTATTGGGAACAGGCTGAAGAGGGTGAGTTTGAATCTGGAAGCTGAACATCTAGAGGAGATGAAAAAAAAAAAAAGCAAATCAGTAAAGAAGGAAGGAAGCAAGTGAGCTGGGAAGTGAGCAAGCAATGGGGCAAGGAAGGACCTTCCTAGGAATATCTCAACCTTTCTCCCACACCAAATCCTGAGCCCAGTGTTTGGTGCACAGCCCTTCCCTGGGAGTGCGAGGCTCTTGCAGTTAACTGGCTGTACAAGCCGTGGAGGATTATTGTGGAGACCTTCCTGACTCGGTGGGAGGTCCCCAATGCTGCCACAGCTGGAAGGAGAACCCGCACAGAGTGAAGGATTTAGCTCCCCAATACCTCGATATCCTTCAGAGAGGGGATAGGTGAGCTGTGGGGAGGAAGCACAGCTCAGAGATTCATGGGGCAGTTGCACAGAGCCAAAGATGAACTTTTTCAGGTGCTTGGTTAAAAAAACCCAAAGTGTGTCTGAAAGAAGAAGACTGCTTCTGGGTTGAGACATGCAATATCTCACACCTCTGCCTGCTAACATGTGTTGTCTCTTTCCTGTATTACTGCCTTACTTTTTTCAAGGAATGGAGCTAGATTTCCAAGACAATGATTAGCAGGATTATTAATCGTTATTTACACAATTATTAATCTTTCTTTAAGGAAAGCTAGTACTGTTTTTAAAGCTGATAAAAGGAAATCCCAGCTGGAAAGCTTAAAGAAATAATCCACACACCCATACCTACATCACCAGTTGTACTTTTTTCACTATTAAAAAACCCTTGGAAAACAGAATCCCAAATCCCAAATGCACTTAGTGCAAACTGTTCCGCTTATTTGCCTTACAGCATAACAGCTGAGGCAGTGAAGAGAGTAACCAGTTTCACTTGCCTCAGTACAATTTGCATTTCTCCTGTGCCTTTCATCTACCAAAGCCCTGAAGATCACGGAGAAGGTTTCCCAGGATAAAAATGGGAACTGTATCCCCAGGTCCAAATTATATCCCAGTTCCAGACCAAAGCTGGTTTACATTTGCCCCAGCTATAGCATTCTATGTTACCTGAAAAGGTTTTTCAATTTTTCCCCAACAGGGTAACTTCTGCTTTTCTTCTCAAACTCTTCGTCGAAGAGGCTGACCGAATACGCAGGACGTTCGATGACATAGCGAGGCCTGGCATGGTTCATCTCTGGATCATTTAAATTTTTCCCAGAAAAAAGAAAAAGCAAAGCCAAGAATGTGACTGGAGCTGGCCCCACCTGCAGTATAACAGACCGGACACCTCCAGCGTCTGGGAGCCCTCCCCGAACATCTCCACCCTAAATAGTTTCCCCGTGGCGCAGAGGCAGGTCCTGGGAGTGGCTTCTCCCAGCACCGGGGGCTGCTGCTCCCCGGCACAGGGAGTTTTACCAGCTATTTTGAGGTGATGCTAATGAGCGATGCTGCGTGAAGGGGACCGGAGCGCGTCCCGGATTGTCTGGCAGATGAGCATGGGTGTTAATCTTAGCTCTGCCAGTGACTGCCTTTTTGCCTTGGGCGAGTCACTTGACCTTTCTGATGCCTCAGTTTCACCATCTGCCAGTGGGGTTGGCAAGACTTTGCAACGCTGGGCAGCCCTGACACAGTTTGCAATGGTAGATACCGGCACCGTGATTAAAGGCAGTTTGCATCCGAGGTGTTCCTGCTGCTGCATGGTCTCATTTGCATTCAGCAGCCTTCCTATTTCTCATTTGCCGTGAGAGGCCATGGACGAGTCCTTGGTTTATTCTAGGAAGTGATGCGCAGAAAGATAACCGTTGCTATTTCATTTCAGTGATGAAGATGTCAAAACATCTGGATGGACTAGTCCTGCCCAGTATCTGGGTCTCACCAAAGAAAGATGATGAACTTCAGAGAGCCCTTATTTTACTATGACCAGCTGTGCCTGGGAAGAGGGGAGAATCATTCCAAACTGGAGAGGCTGGGGGTGAAGGGAGGAAGTGGTCAGATATAAAACAAGGATCTTGGTAATTATTTGTGGCATGGCGTGTATCTAAGTGGGTCATTGCCCAACACGGGAGTAGAAGAGGGGGTGGAAAAGGCTGGTGATTCAGGCAGTAGAACATATCAAGAAATAACATCCAGGTAGCTGAGAGCTTATGGAGTGATTTGAACGTACCGGATCCTCCTCTCTCCTCTCTGGGCACTGTGAGTACTGCTGAAGTCGGTGCACACTGTGACACCGAGTTCAGTGGAACCAGGATAGGCAAAATGTCCATCCATAGGACTAATGTCAGTTCTCGCTGATAAGCAGTTACCTCGGAGTGGGGGCTGGAAGACGTGAGTAATATGTAGCAGAGCAGCTCAGAAGTTCAGGGCAGGAAGGAAAGTATGATGCAGGCAGCCGAAACTTTTGGGAGAATTTAGGTCAACAGAATCATTATGCAAATAGGAGCTAATGGGTTTAGAAAGGGAGGTCATCAACCCCACTCTTGCAATGGATGCTTTAGTGATCACAGGGGCAATCAAGTGCAGTTTGCTGTAAAACAGCTCCAGCGATGGTGTGTTTCTGATTGCAGGCTCTGATCTGCACCCATGCTGGCGGGATGTGTCTTTGGAGGGCCAGCAAGGTGCCAGCTAGCTGAAAGAGGAGACATGCCCCTCTTCCTGCATTACCAGGTGCTTGATCCAGTGCCCTCTGCAGGCATGCACACACCGGCATCCCTGCCACTCCTTCTCAGCTAGAGATACCCTTCCAAGCACAATTACAAGCTTTACCTTTTGGAGGATTGGTGCAGGCCGAGACTAAGCAGCGTCCTAGGCTCTTTCCGAGTCCCTACACTCATGCCAGAAGCCCATCTGATAAACGGTCATTCCCTGGTTTTCCCACGTCAGTCTGCGCAAGTCCTGTCCCTGCCTTATAGCCTTGCTCCAGATCCCGTTGCTGAGCAGGTTCCCAGCGTGCCCAGCCTTTCTCCAGGTCCCAGCCCCACGGCTCTTCTCTAGATTTCCAGTTCTCCCTCGTGAATATTTTTAGCCCAGGTCCAGGCCCAGCAACAGGCTTCTAAAGGGTGATAAACCCAGTCAAGTTTCTGGTGCAAGAAGTCTCTCTCAGCTTTATTCCTCAGCTCCATCACTTGCCGAGCAGCATGCCTGCCATCAGACAGGCTGAATCAGCCAATTATATCACAGCTCTTTAATGAATTTCCCCTGCTGAGCGAAAGTGCTGGCAATCATGAAAAATAATAAACAAGGCAAGTATAGAGGGAAAAATATCCCCATGATTAAATTCCATCTTAAACAAACAGGCTAATGATGTCAGCGTCTCGGACAGAGTCAAGTTCTTGACTTGGCTTATCACTGGCCTTGCCCTAGATCAAACAGGAGGTTAAACCTTTGAGATTTCGGAATTAAAGAGAACGAGCTGTGTGACTGCTCCTTGAACAAAAGGCAAAACCAGCTGTCCTGGTGTTGATGGGATAAGACCACAGCAAGCCGCAGAGCTGGTTTAAATCCTGCAGCTGGGGCAGGACACTGAAGCAATGCAATGTGTGCGGAGAGAAAAACAGAGTGCCAGTAAGTTGCTGTGTTGCAGGGACCAGGTTTTTCAAGAGCTCTGTTCCAGTACGGATGCAGAAATAAAGGACAAGGTCTAGGGGAAGAGGTCCAAGTGCAGAGCCCCCGTTACAAGCTTTGCAGGAAGCCCATTCCCCCAATGTGTTGGCTAGAGCGGGTGATGCTGAGAAATGTGAAGTTTGGCCTCACTGCTAAGTCTACTCAGCCTGGGGTCTTGGAGAAATCGTGACACACTGAGTACAATACTGTGATGTGATACTTGGAGCAAGCAAAAAAAGAAGGTAGAACTGCTACACTCCAACAATATGATGTTGGTGATGTTCCGGTAGGTCATCAGCTAAGAGCCCCATCAGTTCGTACCCTGCGAGTCGCAAACCAGCCTGTGCATGCCAGGCACGGACCTTTTTTCCCAGTGTTCATCTCGCACACGCACTTACTAAGCTCTTATCTTCTGTCCCTGTGTGGGTGATAGCTGTGTTTGGGAAGAGGAAAGTCACATTGAGGTTTCTGGCTAGTGTTGATAGGAGCCATTGGCATAAAGCCACTTTCCTGTCCTGTCATAGGCACAGAAAAAGAACTCCAATCCAAAGAGCGTGAGTCAAAATTTAGTGGGAAAGCAATCTGATCACTGCCTTGTGTGTAATGTAAGGGCCCAAAGTGATCCCAGGGCGAGAGCTGGGCATTCAGGGAATGCCTCTGCTACCTTGTAGGGAGGAAAAATCAGTGCTCTGGAAATAACGCTTCCTCCTTTGTCTGCCCCCTCTCCACCCCCCCTTCTCCTTGCACAAGGCAATGCACATGCAGATCTCCTTGCTGATTGCTTCTCAGCTGATGGAGTTCAGAGGTCTGGTCTCTTCCAAATCCTGAGTGAATCTTCATCAAAAACAACTCTCTCACAGCTCTATTGCCCAAGAAAGAGTTCTAGAAAAGCAACTCTCCCCCACCCAGGAGGTAAGGTCTGCCTGGAGAAGGCAAGCACAGGTGCAAGGGCTTGGTTGCGACACCAGGACAAGGTCTTGACTCCTGTTCCCCTAAATCAATGCCTTCAGCACCGTGTCTGCCGCGACTCCCAGCCTCCCGCTCGCGGCTCCAGCTGCAGGTGTCATGGGAGCCCTGGGGCAACACGGTGAAAGGGCCCAAGTCTCGCAAGGTCAGGCGAGGAAGCTGTCACCTCCTCCCCTGAACCCTGTGCCGTGCTTCTTTGCCGAGGCATGGCATGGGGAAGGACAGGGCGGCTGCAGCGCTGGGCTCTGCGGTGCCAGATGCTGCGGTGCCAGATGCTGCGGTGCCAGATGCTGCAGTGACGGATGCTGCAGTGCCAGATGCTGCAGCACTGGGCTCTGCGGTGCCAGATGCTGCAGTGCCAGCTGCTGCCGTAGACTGGGTGCAGTGACGGCTGCTGCAGCGCTGGGGTCTGCGGTGCCAGATGCTGCAGTGTCAGATGCTGCAGTGCCAGATGCTGCAGTGCCAGGTGCTCCCCTAGACTGAACTCTGCCTCACCCTCCCGCCGCACACCCGCTTCCGTCTCCCTTTCACGCCTCTGGTGTCAAGCTGGGCTCGCAAAGCACACAGACAGGAGGAAAAGGAGGTTTCTGCTGTCAGTCAGTTCAGGTATTTTGAAAAGATGTTGTATAATTCACCTCCGCTATCGGGCGCTGATCAGCCCAGGGGATCCACCCCCGCGCTCCCAGGTTGTTCACTCTCTCCGACCTCCTGGCATCAGGGACAAGCCAGAACCGAGTCCGGCTGATGGGTCACACCGGGAGCCCGTCACCAAGGGACCCCCAGCACGTTCATTCAGGTCAGAGATTTCAGCTGGGCTGTTTGACCCGGCACACCTTTTTGTCAGAGATTGCTTTGATCTGATTTAGTTTTGTTGTACATTTGGCTCTGAATTGCCGGAGGCTTCATCTACAAATGAACTGATTCAGGAAGAAAGTACCTTGCAGCGGTATCTGTAGTCCCACAAGTATATTGGTAAAAACATCTTTCCTAGTAATCCGGGGAAGGGGAAGAGGCAGAAGCAGGGAAGTGGTGGTCGCGTTTCAGGGGCTGAGCAGCCAGCTGCCCGCACGGTGCCAGGCACTGAATACACGCAACATTTGGCCATGGGGTTTAACTTTTTCTTAACCTCTGCCCTTTGGAAATAGAAGAGGCTGATGCTGGGAGAGCATATAGATCAGTCATGAAAAATATCCTATCCCAAAAATGGCTTTTAGTCTCAGAAAAGGCAAAATCCCATAGTCCGTAAAGTTCAGTAAAAACTGAGCTGTTTCAGTCAATTTTCCACGAGCAGCACACAGGAACCATCGTGAAGGCTGGTGGAATAAAAGCCAGAGAGAGAGGCAAGAGGGCGAAGGAGGGAGGGAGGTGTCGGGAGGTGCTAACTGGCCTTGTTGGGGCTCAGAGGAGCCGTACACTGCGGGTGCAGGGGCAGGGAGGAGACATCTCTGCTTCCCTCCAGGTCCCACCTCCCCATCTCGTTGCACCATGCTGCAGCCTCGGCTACAACATCCCCCTCGGGACCAGCCGTCCCGTTCCTCCACTCCTGCACTTTCGTCGTGGAGTAACCAGGCAAAATTAAGTCAATGTTTTCTTTTTGTTTAGATTAAATATTTGGAGCGTTAAATAG